TCTCTGTGTGAACCATATGGTGACATGTGAGATAGGTAAACATATCAAATGTAAGGTGTAAGGCTACATGTGTATACATTGTGTAATGGCTGACCACAACTCAGCCACCATTTGAGTGGAAGCATTTAACCAGTCCTTTGTTATTTGATTCTTCTGATCTTATTATTCTTGAAATCTGTTCTGTCCGCTTTCTTCAATTTGTTGAATCAACCAAGGTAATCCATGTTCTTCCTTTGTCTTCCCATTTGTTCCTGACTTCACCAAGATCAATACAGAACATATAAGAAGAAATATTATATCCTCAAGAAGAAATAGAACCTTGAAGAATCCACAAGAAGCCGATAATAATTGAATGTAGATTAATAAATCAATCAATATATCTCAAACATCTGTTCCATTCATCGCAAAAGAAGACTCATACAATCCAAAACATTTACCACTCATGATTTACTCACAAACAATTATTGAAGACGGAAGTACTTGAGATACATGCAGAGATGTTTATGTCTCGTGAAGGGCAGGGCAAGTGACTGAGGGGACCCCCAACTACCAGCCTAACCCTTTGCTAAATGTATCTCAGAGCTTCCTGATTTCAATCCTCAAGAAATTACTTCATCAATCATTCCTTCAAACAATTATTCATTAATGCAAATTCACTTATTTCAAAAGATTTACAGCTCAAGGTTATTCACATTGACTCATGGAAGACGGAAGTACTTGAGATACATGCAGAGATGTTTATGTCTCGTGAAGGGCAGGGCAAGTGACCGAGGGGACCCCCAACTACCAGCCTAACCCTTTGCTAAATGTATCTTGGTGCTTCCTGATTTCAATCCTCAAGAAATTACTTTATCAATCATTTCTTCAAACAATTATTCATAAATTTATATATTCATGTCATTCATACTCAATCATTCAATCCATCAAATATTTAATCACTCATTGTTTATTCACTTTATTCATTATTTCATTGCATCCCCACACAAATTAAGAAATCTTGATTTTTTGATGAGCATTCCACTAATCAAAACAATGTTTTTTTTACGTAGATGCCAAAACCAGTATCAGACCTCAGAAAGCAAAAGCTTGCGGAGTGCCAAAAGAGGAAGAAGGCTCAACAACACAATGCCAAACAGGATCCAGTCCAGGATGTTCAAAGAGAATGTGTCAGTCAAAGAATTAAAGCAGGAATCAAAGACCGGTTTGGCTTGCCAGAGGACTGTGATGTTTTCCAAGTTCCTCAATTTGGGAACGGGAAAGAGCAAGTAGTTACCTATGGAACTG